CTAAATGATAATGTTATATATATATATATATATATATATATATATATATCAATAAAACGAACATATAGCAATATGAATTTTAATACTTTCAACTTTTTAATGATTTAAAATAGATATCTAGTTACAATGTAAGAAACAGCTCATTCTTAAAATTCCTGTAAAAATTTATATTTCAAAGGTCTTCATTATGGTTTAACCTGAGTTTTAAGAAGCAAAAAAAAAATTGAAACAATTTGTAACACAATTTATTTAAATGAGAAAATTACATCATTTTTAAGTGGATCGTCTTAACGAAAACGATAGTCAAATCAAAAACTTGACTTAAAATTGATATATTGTATATTTATGCAAAATTATCTTTATACTCAAATTAATGAATCTTACAAGAATTTAATAAATACTGGATCTCGCAAACAAAATTACCTTCCATTTTGTAGTTTCCTAGTTTCTGTTGCGTTAATATGAAAATCATTAAGTATTTGGAAAGATTTTAATTATTAAATAGATAATGTTGAATGTTCATGCATATTAACTATATTGTAAATATAAAAATGTGAAAATATAAGTAAAGTAAATCTTTAAATTAACGTGTTATTAAAGTAAATTTCAATTTCTGTATTTATTTAACTGACATTTAACATCTGTTTATTAATGTTAATAAATAATAAAAAAATAATTAAAACAATATTTTCATCAACGATCGCATATTTTTAGCTGAAAAGCACTTTCTCGTTTCTTGTTCCCTCAGAAATTATTTGGATATCATCGTAAATTCAAAGTATAACCGTAACAATATTGAAAAGTATAGATCTTCCATTTGGCTATTTAGTAATAACCTTTAGTGACACATATAACATATATCGCATCATTATATTAAAAAAATATAAAGTTATTTTAGGCTTTAAGATCAATATTAAAACGTTTATTTTGTTCTCTTTTTTATTCTACGATGATACCAACTATTCAGATATAAACAAAAATAATAAGTACGTAACCGATGGTAATTGAATTAAGACAATTCAACTGAATCAACTATTCCTTTTCTTGTAAATAATAAAAAATGCATTAATTATTTCCTTTTAGATTGACTATTATTCCCTCCTTTCCACCAACCTCTTCATTATTTTTTTCGATACTGCTCGCCGTTTTCCAAAAAGAAACTTCTTACCGACTTAGAAAACATCCTAGCGATCGAAAGAATCATAAAAACCGAATATCAACAATTCACCAAGAAGTACATCTTAACAATACTAAATAAAATTAAATTTAAAGATATTTAGGATTATTAGATTTATAGCGCACTCGATAACCTTACCTTTAATTAATATTTTTCTAATAAGACATTGTTAAAACTAAAAATAATGAATATATTAATGTGATATATAATGGAACTTGATAACTGATTTATTAATTTAATTAATTTTTATTTAATTTATTTAATTATTTAAAAAATTATATGGTTAATAAATATTAATTTTCATTTAAATATTATTCAAATTATTGTGGGCAATAAAATTTGTTCCTTGTACGAATATCTTAGCTTAAAAGCCAATATTCATTTTATTTCCAATATTATTAATAAGGTGAAAATTTTTATAAATAATAAAATAAATTTTACCAAAACTCGATCAAGTAAGAGCACATGTAAAAACAAATTAATATTTTACTGCTGTTTTTATTAGCATATATACAAAGTCATTACATTCCAATTGAGTAGGTAATTATGAAGAAAAAAAAATACATTTATCCGCTTCATTTTACAATTGGTCAATTAAAGTTAGTATGTATTTTAACTGCATTACCATTCATGTCTCCATTTATCTATATTTCCATCTGGTTCCATCAATTAGAATATTCAAAGCTACATTGTGTAGTGATATAGAAACCACAGTTAAAATTTCAAAATACTGTAAATTCATTTACTTCAATTATAAAACAAAATAACAAGTTCATTAAATAAATTCCTAAGTACTATATTGTAATAATATGTAAAATTAAAAAAAAAAATACTAAAAGCACTTAAACTACATTACACTTAACTCAAGTGTATACTTAAAGGTTTTATTTGCTGATATTTATTTAATTATTTAATAATTATAGTAATTATATTTATTTAACGACATAAACAATTAAAATATTATAATAATATATATTCGATGAAAATCGATTTCATATTTATTTATTTCTATATATAATTACTAGAAAATCCCTTATAATGCATTCCTAGATTATTTAAATTACAAATTTTGATGCGCTTACATTGACTTGTACAATTTTGTTCGAGATTGCAAGAACCTTTTCCAATGCAATAAAACATCTGGCAAAACATCATTAAATTTTCGTTAGGCTTCTGAAAATTTCTGCTTATCTAAATATCCAGCCGGAATGTCATAAAAAACTTCGACGAAAACTCTCCCACAGTCGTCGGAGGCTCGAAAGAGTCGGTATATCTGGAAAACGTCATATTATTTATTTTCGCATCACGATCGTGTTCATTGTTTTTTGTCGCGTTAAACGATCTTGTTTACTTGCAAGAAAGTTTCGATTTTGTTTACATGAGAATATTTCAAGAGTGTCAGATGTACGTAAACTAACGAGTGGAAAAACATTTTCAAAAATTCATTGCAACCCTGCACCACGCCATCGGGCAATCGGCACACATACGCATTCACCGTCATGAGACAATTGACGTTTGTGATAATGACACATTGTTCTCAAGTACGCCGAATGTTGCCTCTCGCATGAGCCAATGGACGACGCTTGTCCAAGAGAAGGACGAGACGACCAATAGCAGACGCCCCCCTCCCTTCCAAGACACTTTTCTGATATTAGCATTTTCAAGCCTAAATTCGGAAGGAAGAGGGAAAGGAGGTGTGCATGGTCAATCCTGCCCAAAGGCCGCGCTCTGATTAGAACTAAACAAAGGGAAGGGGCCCCAAGTGGGCACCAGGGTCAGTGGCCTATTTAAGAAAGGGCAAACACAATAGCCAGGGCTCAGTCTGCTCAGTCTTTTTCAGTTACTCATTCAACAGTCTCTGAGTCACTCACCCGTTCACTCATGTTAAAGTCAGCAAGAAAGGGGGAAGTCCCCTCAGAGCCTCAGCATCGCCTACGACTCTCATTCATCAAAGTCACACGGTATCTTCAACAACCAGTATGAGCCCATGGAGGTCTTAGTCCGCGCAACGCGAGACGCCTGCGTCGCCTCTTCAGTTCCATACCGTGTTGAGCTTAACCTTTAATAGAAGCCGCTTGTGCTTAAAATTAAAAGCACGACGCAGTCACAGTTTCTCCACGTGGCACTATTCAAAGAAGTGGCGAGAGCTTCTTTACAACCTCTCCCTTTTCTCAGGGTAATCTACCATGAAAAGGCACTACGTCACGAGGATCAGGGACTTTACAACCTCCTACCTCCAACCGCAAGTGCACCTCAACGCCACGTTCCAATCGCCAAAGAGTAACAAAGGTTCATCTATAATATAATCTCTATCTGTATTTGGAAAGTAGACGAAATAAACAGAATTAAAAAAAAAAACATGTGTTAACTATTGAATCAATGCATTAACCCTTCCACTTACCCACGCATTCTCCCACACAACATCTAGTGGTCTCTTAGTTAATTCTAAACAAAATTATATAATTAATTGATATAACTTAAATAGTAAACTAATTTTTATATAGAAATTAAACAAAAATTTTATATTGGAAAATGCAGAGATTTTTTCAATAATTATTATATCTCAGTGGACATTATTAATGTTCGTTAAATAATCTATATAAAAATTTTAATTTAGAATATTTTTAAAACTATATTTTTTAAGAAGTACAGCTTATCTAACATTTGTATTAAAATTTAGCTAGCAATTTTATTATGCGTCTACGTGTGAAAAGAATAATACATTATGTTTATTTGAATAAAATGAGTTTCTACTTTCATACTTATTCAAACACGTTTCCAATTAGATATTAATAATTTGTAGTACATAGCAAATTGATATCATTATCACAATTATATATATATAATAAAAAATGCATGATGTATATAATATAAACTATTATCTTTTAATGCAATTATAACTCGAAATTTTTAAACATAACATTAATTACCGGTTGATAAAAAAAAATGAATATCCATCGTTTATTACTATTTTTCATGGATGAATTACACTATTGATTCGTATAAATTATTCAGTGCGTTCATTCCTTTACTCAACTGTGTATTCTCAAATTTTGTAAATACAATTTTTGAAAAGATAAAGTAGCTATATATATATATATATATATGTATAAATAAACAATCGTAAAAAATAAAAAAATCTGCTAGTGAAATACCTATCTTAAATTCAACCCATTAACATATTAAATTTAATCGTGCTCTTGAATTTTTAAAAATAAAGTATTCTGTGAAATAAAAAGTCTTAATTTCATTTAATAGACTCAAGATAATTCATTATTTAAAGTTCTGTATTTAATCATGTTAAATCGCAATATAATAAAGACAATATGGTTTTTTGAAATTACTAATTGTATCTGAATAAATTATAAATTTTTTTAACAAATTTACAATTTAACATGAAATTTACAATTTAGATTTTCGTTGGATAATAATGTTATTTTTTTATTTTTTTTTGGTTGCGTGTAACATAATATTTAGAAATAATGTAATAAAATATATCATGAAATTAAAAATGTATGACATTTTTTATACTTCAAGGCGAAAAAACAACTTCTGTTATTTCATGAGTAAATAGAATTTCTCAAACCATTCAAAATTAACATTGGCACCACAAGTAACCGGGAAAGTCAATATTATGCATCAGCTGAAATTAATAAAGAGTCGTAGCAAACACATTTAACTAAGCCGTCTCATAGTTTCACTGCACTTTTGGGTATTCAACGAACTTTTGCCTGTACAAGCCTGTAAAATGGTCCTACACAAAAATAATCGCAAAACATTTCGAATGACGTAACTAAACGGCGTGCTTCTGCTCTGATTTCAGATTTTGGGTAAGGTTCGGAGCGATTCACGACAAGTCTTGGCATGTCTGGCGATGCTCATGCTGCCCATTGCCGGAAAGCAGCCTGAATCCTCTGGCGCGTTGCACTGCGGCGGCCATCTAACCGCCCGGCGAGGCATCATAGCCACGCCCAATTTCCCGGGTCCGTTCGCTGTACCCATCAATTGCCGCTGGATTCTGGATGCTTCGGCGTTTGTCGAGCATGCAAATGCCTCGATAATCGTGTACTTAAGCCAACTATACGCAGCTCGGGGCCTGCGCTTCACCGAGTATGCATATTTCGAGACCGAGTCGACGAGCTTCGGAGGTGCGCTTCTGCGTGAGATTGACGAGGGCAACGTCTTCGAGCACCGATGGTTGCGCACTTTTCGGCCCTATCTTGTGCTTGACTTTCGACTGGAGCGGCTCGAAGCTAATCACGTGCGTGTGCTGGACAAATTACTCGATGTCTACGGGTTCAATTTTACGTACGAAATGACCGACGGCAGAGAGAATCCGAGCTCGTGCTCGCTACGAGATTGTTCGTACGCCGGCGATTGCCTGCTCACTTCGGATTATGCGTAAGTGGTTGGGAAGCTACGCTTTGCTTTCACATTGCATAATCGGCTTGGGAAATCATTTTAACGCCCCGCCGCCTTTCATACGCCACTGCAGCTTTTAGGGATTTGAGGCTATTTCCCGTGTACATGCGAGAGGTGGTGATGTTTGAATCTAAAATTACGAACACAAGGAACAGAAGCATTTTTTCAGTAGATATTTTATTCGCGCGATAATTTGAATGTATTCAATTAAATTAAGATTACTTCCCTTTTTCTTATTAATATGCTGTAAAAATTGCTTGCTATCCTATTGTCAGTATTTGATCATCAGTTGGGTTATAAATATATTATAATGTTTTTTATATATTATATTATATACATCATGAACAATGCAATCTTAATTTACTTTAACAATTTCCGGTTATATACAATTTTTAAATTATGTATTTCAATTTGTATATTTGTTTTTCTCAAACACTAAATATTATTAACTATTAAGGCTCCTTTTCTTAAATACAATTTAATACTAATTATTTATTTTTATATACTACGTACAAAAATTTTTTATAAATGTATTGTCTAATATACTGAAAATAATATTATAATTCAATTAATATTATTCTATGAATAAAAGTATTTTAAATGAAAAATTTTTAATATAATATAAATTATAAGATAGTAGATAGAAAAGCTTTTACAAAGAATCATAATTAATATGTATGCATTATACGACATTGTTAGATATATAAGTAAAATTTATTATATTTCAGTAATACTGTGCAAAATTCCATAACGAATGATAAATAAAATATCATCAAATGCATATCATTAAGTATTATGTTTTAATATATTAGTCAACTGAAAAAAGTTGTTATATTAAAATGATTAAATATTTTTAAATAAATAAATAACAAAATATTAATGAATTTTCTAAAACAAATTATTAAATTCATAAAGATATGCTAATTAAATGTCCAATATTAATTTCATTTTACCAAAAAAAATTAAATGTTCCTGAAATATAATTTATAATATAAAAATTCAAATCAATGTAGACTAATTTTTTATATGTATATTATATTACAAATCATTACATTGATTAATAAATACAAGTTTTATTATTTTATTTTTTATGTTATGTTTTTATTAATTTTTATATTATCTTTTATTATAATATATAATTATAATATATAATTTTAAGCAATTTTTATTAATGTTATGAGTTTTAAAATAAATATTAAACTATTATTGTAATTTTTATATAATTACAGAAACTTGCAATATAAATTATGTATTATTCATATTATATGAATTATTATCTTAATAACAAATGTAGTAGAAATTTCTTTGTATTCTTCTTCTTCGGTTTATTTATATTTAATGAGATTTTAAATAATACAATATAAACGGTAGAAGAATATTTTAAACAATTTATTTTTATTAAACAAGTTTCTAAATTGAATACTGTTAAAACATTAAAAGTATAGAAAATATAAATTCTGATTGATAATTGTTCATTATTTTAGAATTAGAAAATTTTGCGTTTCTCTGTTTAAAATTTCAATGCATCATTTGTTGAAATTTGAATGCATATGAACCAAATATTCGATAACTTATTGCAAATGGAGCTATAGTATAAGCATATTCTAATTTCGAATTTTCATTAAAACTTTCAAATGTTTAGATAGAATTAAAGCTAAATATATTTACACATATTTAGCTTTAATTCTATCTAAATATTTAACGGTTTAAATGAAAATACTAATTTAGAATATATTTGGTATACTATAGCTCTAAATATAACTATAAATACTATACAGTGCTATATAGCTCTATTTATACTATATATATTTGTTTATTTTTGAAATACTTATAAATCTGTCGAAAGATTTTTAACTTTCGTTTTTATAAAATTATGTGGAATAATGGTTTTTACATTTTTGGTCAGCACTAATTAAAGCATCACAGTGCCTGAAAAATATTGTTTTTGCCTGTTCCTTAATTTTACTTCGCATTCATAGAGAATAGATTTTACATGTTTTTATACTGCTGTATGGAATAATATAACTTTTATGTTTTCACTGTCTTATATTCTAACTTATTTTATTCTTTTAAAGCACACAGTAAAGCTTTGTTGTGTCAGTCATAGAAAATTATATGCAGGCTTAGTACGTTTGCGAAAGTTAACCATAGAAAAAGCGCGTGAAGAAAGTTTTTTTTTCATTTTTCATAGTCACGAGAAAAGCGCTCTCACAAATATGTACTTTTTTTTGTACGTGCGTGGGAGAAATGGGTGCATTGAAAAATATGTGTATGCAAATATTTAAACACTGTATATTGAAACACAACAGTGAGTATATGAAAAAGATACAACATTAAAAATGATTTTACTTATGGAAACATAAACATATATACGTGTGGGTACTAATGCGTACATATAATATGTATACTTTTTATATACAATATTATTATTATTATTTTGATTCATGTTAATTTAAATTAAATAACGAATAGTATAATAAGAAAATCTAAATTACGTATTTAAATTTCAGTGGAATTCAGAAATCAATTAAAAAGAAATCATTTCATACTGTATCAACGTGAAATACATTTTTACAAAAATTAATGAAATTCAATCACAAAAAATTTTAAACGATAATAAATTACAATATATTAATGGCAATTTTATGCACTGTCACATTTTTAACGCCGATTGTAAAATTTCTTTTTTAATCTCAAGAAATCTATCACATAATTGTTATTTTCCTTTAAAGTCGTAATCTTGGCTATATACTAACTTAAATTATGCTTGAAAAAATGTACATTAAATATATTTTTATTTTGTATCTTGCTTTTGATTGTTTAAAAAAAAATGCATCTAATTAAAAACAACTTTAAAAAATACTGCTACAATGTGGATTTTATTTAGAAATAATTAATGTTTTTCAAAAGTAACTTGAAAGTATAATTGTTATATAATATCAATCAATTCAATATATTAATATATATTGAATAATATTAATTATATAAATTCAATCAATTATATTTTTTAATATTTTGAAACAATTTATATTTTAAAAATCTGGTTACAAATCAAAGTATAATAACTAATAACAGTGCATTTTGAAGAAAATTATCACTAATATGTACCTGTTATTAAATTTATAATTAAAATTTAAAAATTTTTGAACTATTATACTCTTCAATATCAACTATTACTTAAATGTATCGTATTTATTAAATATTTCAAAAATTCTTTATAAAATTAATATTTTTAAATAGTTAATGAGATGAATTGGATAGTAATTTATTTATTTAATATACTAAATAGTAGTGTAATAATGGTAAGCAGAATAAATAATGTGGTAAAAATTTAATATGATTTCCTTTATAGAAGAAGTAGCAGCATTGACGAGCAATAAATAACAATAATATTTTGTAGCAATTAGTAATATACCAAGATTATTAATTATTTATATCAGATAAAATGTAATTTATTTAAATAATAATTAGTAATGTAAGAAACAAATCCATATTGTTGCAAAAAAAAAAATATTTTTATTGATCTGTTACTACCATACTTTGGAATAAACATATATATTTTATTAATCCTATGTAGTGTGTATTAGTAAATGAAACGAGACAATTTTAATAATTAAATAATATTTGGTACAATTATTCAATAACTTTATATAAGAAAATCAATAATTCAATAATTGTATATAAGGCAAAATCATTTAACGAAATTATAGCTTTTGTTCTCTTATTTTTAAAATTAAATATTACAATGTTTAGCGGAAGCCTAAATAATATCTATCATTAAATCACGTTTCGAGTGTTATAAAAGGACAACAGTATTTATAAGTTTATAGGTAATTAACTTAAAAAAGTAAGAGGTAAATGAACTGTTAAGAGGCAATTCGCTTTAGAGGAAATAAGATGTCGAACATTCAACGTTGTTCGCTTAATGCCTATGAAAATTATCAGAAAACAACTTGTGTTATTTTCTGTTGACTGATCGTTAGTCCTGTCGATTAAATTCATTGTATGCACATGTATTGACCTAGCATTTTTATTATCAATTCAAGCATTATTCCTTTATATTAGGCTTTTCGTTTTTATTTTGTGACATGTATATTCCCTTTTATTCATGCAATTTGATTCCATATTATTGAATCTGTAGTTATATCTTTTATTATTTCCTTCTGTTTTTCTCAATATCTATATTTTTTAGTACTTTTACCACATAGAAAATTGAACAATGTAGTAAAAACCCTATAAAATATCCGTATGAGAGAATTTATATGATTTATATGCTTTTCTACGCAAAATAAAACAAAATGAGAAAAGTAAAAGAAGTGGTTCGACATGTCTTATTACATCCGACTTCATCGGCCAAATGCATATTTGAACATTAATTATAGTATCATATAATTTATAGATCATACTTTAAGATGTTATAAAAACTTCTAAAACATTTTTTAATTCTTAAATTTTCAAACAAAAAAACTAAATTATGTTATACAATGTGATTTGTATTTACATAATCATATATTAAAAAACATTTTAATATATTTTAAGTTTAATAACATTTTAATATTTTAATATATGCCATTTTTATGAGAATCTTGTATGCACGTAAACTGTGAGGGTTATGGAAACAGTGATTGAATCTAGTTTCATACAAGTAGTATTTATCTGACCTCACAAGTATATTTTACTGCTGATATAAATACTTTTATGTTTGTAAAAGTTTTTCATGATAATCATCTGCATGCAGGCATAGATTATTTTGATTTGGACAGTAATATTTTATTGCAGTTGTATATACACAAACGTTCGTGTTTTCAACAAATATTTTCAACAAATATATGTATTTTGAAAACATTACTAATGTATTATTTTATTTAAATGAATTACTTTATATATAAAAATTATCGTTTATTACTACATATTAATAATTAAGATTTCTATTCTATACATATTCATAAAATATTCTTAAATAGTTTCAAGATATTAATAATAATAATTTAAAAATTACTTTTATATTAGGTAGTGAATGTGGACATTTAGATTTTCGAATATTGAATAATAATAATTAACGATAAATTCAGCAGAAATTAAAAATTTCGAATTCTAAAATTCAATTTCTAAGAAAAATTAAAATGATTTTGTTTTTAATATAATCAAAATAATCTACCATAGTCGAATATATGGTATAAATTAGCCAATCCTGTAATATATTTTTCTTTTTATGTATTAAGTATCCGATAGTTCACGAAAATCAAAATTTAATATAATACAGAATAATATATAATTAATAAAAATTAAAATTTCACTATGTAATTAGTATTTTTAAATATTAAATTTGAAATTATAATTGATTTTCATTTTTTGAAATAACAATGATTTTATTAATACTCCAATAAATACGCGTATATCTGTTAATAAACTATTTTATAAAAATCTACAGACATATTAAATTTTAGATATTCATTATATAATATGTATTTTTTCGATATATATAATAAAATATTAATATACTTACTTAGTGGTATTGTTGAATGCCTATTGAATTTTAATACCTCACTTAATTCTATATTTTCGATTTATGCAAAATAAAGGAAAACATAATTTCAAGAATTGATTAGAAATAATTGACAATGTGTTGGGTAAAATGTATAAATTAGGTAAAATATTTTATTTAATATGTTTTCTGTTTAAAAATATAGTCTTTAATTTCTTAATCAAAATTAAATTTACAGGGTATAAAACATAACATTGTGTAATTTAATCGTATGTTGAATTCTTTCCTGTAACATTATCTAGTATAACAGAAGGTATAGTTATAATAATACAGATCCGAATCAATATCAATAGGTTTGTTGAAAGATCATCCAAGAATGTTGATAACAAATGGATAGCAATATTTTGAATTCTCTATTGAGTCGTGCACGCTTTTATTAAGTTTATCTTTTTAAGAAATGGCTGTCACCCATTGGACGTAAAATAATAATAAAATAACACCCGAATGAAGCAAACAAACATTTAACTCGAATTAGAATTTATAATATCTGTAAATTATACCGAAATCCAATAATCTGTTTTTCAAATAATTTTATTTTAATCTAAATTAACAATCACATTTAAAATATAACAAAATAAAATTTTAGACTTGCTCAAAATATATAGGAAAAAATTTTATGATTTAAAAATTAAACATGCTACTGAATAGTTTATTTGTTTATTATTCGTATAGTACGATAAATCACTAATTAATTTTGTACTGATACATGAAATAACTAGATTTTATAATAATACCTAGTATTTTTATGATGAATACAATTTAAAATAGAACATATTATACATACATTTAATTTATACTATATTTCTTTTTTTTTATGAATAAGCTATTTATATAATGGATAATATGGGTAATATTACATAAATACGAAATGCACACGAAAAATACCACATAGTTCTCGTATTTTCATATTTTCAAGGATATATATTCCGAATGGCAAAGACAAGTATTAAATATTAACGTTGGTCCATTGCTCTTCATTAGGACCTTTTACTGTGATTGCTTCGAAGGATTTGGTGGACAACACTGCGGCTATGGGCCACTTTGCGTAACCGAACGTGGAAATCCGAAATGTCAAAATGGTGGTACTTGCAGGTATGCATATTTTGGTATATATAATTGATTTTAATTTACTATTATATAACTTATTTTAGCTAATCAATATTATATTAATATAAACAGACTTTGATTGATAATCAGAGCATTATGAAATAAATGGCATTTTTTATATCATACGTTCTGAAAGCTTAATTATAGAAAATATACAATTTGCTGCTTAATTTTATCGTAATCTAAAATTATATTACATTAAATATTTTCTATAAAAAATTATGAAGAATGAAACATTAAAATAATATTATGGAAAGTGAATAAAGTTAAATCTAAATTTTACCTTCGTGCTCATGCGTTAAAATAATTTCTTAATTAAAAATGTAATTTGCGTAAAGCTGATAAATAATTATTCGTTAAAAATATAACATTAATGAAGAAAATTTTGCAAAATTCTGTTATTTAAAATATTACTTAAAGTTATAATAAGAATATAAATTCAATAATACTGGTACGAAGATAATTTTTAAAATTAAAAACAATGATTTTTTACATTGATATAATAAATATGCTTGATAAATAATATAAATAGTAAATTAAATAAAAATGTTCGAAAATTATTTGGTTGGATATTCATTTTATATTTCAATCAAATTGGCATTCTTTTCAATCAGTTATTCTTTATGATTTAATGAAATTAGAGTATGGAATGAAATATCTAATGGATAATCTAAGAGATTCATTCACGGAATTAGAAAAAATATTGCTAAACAATATCATGCTACACTACTTTAAATATTATTTATATTCGTCTTTTTATAATATTATAAAACTTAGAAAGTAGTATTAAATCAGAATAACTTATCAATATTGGACAAATAAAATTTTATTACTATATATACTTTAAGTTATATAAAATGGGACATAAATTAACACACCTACGATATTTACTAATAATATATTCTACTAATTTTTAAATAATTAATAATACAAATGGAAAGTTGCAGTAAATTACTATTAATAATAATCAGACAATAAGCACAAAAATTTGAATTATAAATAAATACGATTAAGTTTCGTTGATCTCATTTATTATATAATTTCAGTAAATAATAAGATACTGATAAATTCGTTTAAAACGATAAAGTCGTATCGTTTAGTTTTATTGATTTCTCTTTATTTTTTTATTTATTACAGACATGTTGGAGCCGCCGCTGTGCGCTGCTTATGCAAACCTCAATTCAATGGAGATGTCTGCGAGATGTCATCCCTTATCAGCATAGAAAACGGTAGATATTTAATTACATTCTCCCAATTCATAAATAATTGTTGTCATTAAATGAATGTACAATTTATTAAATGTCGAATGATACATTTCAAGTGATAATGGTTGTTTGGATATTCGACGATTTATGTACTTTTTTTCGGTATTAAATTCCATTTTCATTGATTCTTATATTATCAAATATTTTTTATACTTATTACAAATGAATGCATAAAGAGCAACAAATTTTATTTAATAAATGTTTTAATTAATTACCGTTGCTACTTAGATTTTAATGAATAAAATTAATAAAAATAGTATATTCAGTTTATTAAATATTACGTAAATATCGAGACAGTAAATTATTTAATATACATAAATTCCATACATTACTAATAATTAAAATTATTAGTAATATTTATTTATATTATCCTTCATTAATTTAGAGATTAAACGTATTTTATCAATAAAGGGGGAAATACTTTGAAACAGAAAAGAAATCAACATTGAATCAACAAAATGAAGAATAAATTGATAAATTAACAAAATATATGTAATATGTAAGGCAATTAATCAACAAAAAAAACATATACGATACTGTTGAGAATTCCACTCATCCGGTGGTCGAAGGACCAAAAATGTTTAGAATTAAACTATGTCCACCAGTTCACTGGTGGGAAAACGTGTGGATAAGTGGAAGAGGTACTGCTTCAATTCAGTATTCAACACATCGGTCTTTCGTGCTTATTTATTGCGTTTATTTTACAACTACACTATAATTTTCTACGTTGACTTTGAGAATCGCTAGAATCGAGAATTGTCGTTCCTTTCATGTTGCCACGTGGTGTCAGTATGCATTACATGTAGAGGTAGGAGCTCTTAAATCTCCGGATCCTCTTGTTCTTGCACTGACTCGTGGAAACGACCACTTGAAAGAGTACGCGTGGGCACTGGTGAGAGAGGGTATGCGATGGCACTGAATCCTTGCTTAGAGTTTACCCGCAAACGCCTTGTGCGTTCGGGCACGCTGCTTGCGGTTAGATACTGAGAGAGTACTCTGGCACTATGCTTCAGGATCTATTTCAATTATTAATTGTGGAGGTTGTTACTATCTCACTTGAATTGTTCTCGAACTGTATTATATGGTATGACAGAGTTGTTGATTTCATCTTCCAACACCTTTTCCTTGACAGTGAGCTAGTTGAATGCTCACACAAATTGACAGCGTGTTTCTTACGTGGCGGATCTGGTAATAGCGCTTGTTGAATACGCACACGAAACTGAAGGAGTGTCTGTGCCATGGCGTCTTTACTAAGAGAGAGAGAGAGAGAGAGAGAGCCTTAGCGTGTCGCGTGCTTGCTTTAAATATCCACGCGGCAGCTTAGTTAGCTGGCAATAATGGATAGGTGTTACTATGCGGATGTTAGATAAACATTGTAGGGTATTCCAGAATCAAGCTTTCGAAGTTTCTAAAATTCCGGGAAAGTAAAACTCCAGAAGGTTGGAGAATTCCGAGAAGCATAATGTTTACAAAATACTAGAAGAATTATAAATTTCCAAGAGCCAATGGTCTTGAAAAATGCTCCAATCCTGAACATATAAATTTTTTAACAATATATAGAGTGCAATTGAAATTGGATAAATCGCAGTCTTTGTAAGAGATTTTGTATATTTTATATCAAACGTGCTCATCAACGGTGCTCATTATTAAAATGTAATTAAATACAATAATTCCATGCTACAATGAATTGTTATTTTTAAATATTATAAAATAAATCTAATAAGTGATATTAAAATAAAAATCTAATAAATATATTTCGACAATTTCATAAAATAATGTAAATAGAGATCATTTTTTTATTACAAATATTGCATAATAATTTGAAGATGTAAAACTATCTTTATTAATTTACAAATGTAGAAGAATGTCTGAAAAATCAAAGTTGATAATTGAATAATTGTTAAAAACGAACTATATCCTATTATAACTAAATGCAATCTAGATTATTTTTCACGATTCTATCCTCTTCGGGAACAGAATATTATTGACGAACAAGGAAAATATCCAAAATGTACAATATCATTTTGATAAAAATACAAATAAATTTTTTAACAAAATAAAAATAAAATTATTTTTCGTTGATTAAAAACCAAATCAACGGTGGTCTGAAAGTTGAATGTCAAGCAAAAAATTAATTAAAGGCATTGAAATATTTTATATTTATAGATTTAATTTCCTATAGGAAGTTTAGAGAACATTTATTAATATTTATTTTTCAGAAAAGTTAATGTTAAGACTGTAGCCACCTCTTTATAACAAAATTTTTAAGAACTTTTTTAAGACATATTTAATTTTTAAGACATACCTAATGTTTCAAAAGAACAAATTTAGATAATCATTTAAATCCATATGAATAATTCTTAATCTTCCTGAAATAATTTTCAACCTTTCTAAATAATAACTAATTACCGGCTATATATAGTTAATAAGTTACAATGTAAAGACATTTAAACAAATGTAATATTTTCAAGACAACATTGTATATATTTTATTAATTAATATTTAAACTATTCAAATACTTACAAAAGGAGATATATTTTATTAAAACTAAAAAAGATTTATACATTTACGAATAATTTTTTATATTAAAAATATAAATATTTTAATCCATTAAATTACTTAAACATTTGTCGGAATACAAAAATACTTGTCACAGTCAATTTTGCATAATCTAAATTTTCATTAAATATTATCAATCATTGTATCTTTAATCATATATTACAAAATTGATGAAATTTTATAGCAATTTCTAGATTGTAATATTGCTTGGAGTTCTGTTTAGTTTCATAAAAAGTGCATATTAATTACATCTATTTATATTTTTATACAACAAACATATTACATTTGAATTACCGTTAATTAATAAAATATATTTTTATCATTCATAAACTGTGTCTAATAAATATTATTTCAATCTTCATTATCTCTTGTATAACTAAAGATGAGATATCAAAGCACATTTATCTAATTATATAAGTAAATAGGATACTGCACATCTGCACTTATCAAATTTAATAAACATAAAGATAATGTTCACTATTTTGACTTATCTCAAGTTGATACAAATTTAGTTGGAGCTATAATCTCCTATTAAATTTTTCTTTTCTGATTTCAGTTTCAGTGATTGCTACATCCAATGATATTATTTTTAATAGTAAAACTCAGTAGGTGACTTTCTCAATAAGTTGTATATGCCATAAAATGCTTTCACTATATTTTATAAGAAAGCAATAAAATTAACTTATAAGCAATAAAAATATAACTTTACATATACTATAAAAAATTTTGTATTAAAACATTTTTAAGAACCATAAACAATTACAAAATCTATGTCGGACTTCGAATATTTCATATATATTTGATGAAAAATTCCATTCAATAAAAAATTGATTATATAAAACTAATTATTATAATTAATTTTAGTTATTGCTCAAGTAGATTAATATTTTTTAGACTGATTCTAATTGAAAATAATTGAAAATTTGATTATTTATTCGACTTTATTTCTTTATTAAGTTTATTATATTGAAGTAGCTTGTTTGATATGTGGAAAAGTTTTTAAATATAAAAACTACAATGCCCTCAGCATCTGAATTGAAGTATACTAATTAGTAATCTATGATTTAATATCTATAGATTAGCTTTAATCTTCATACTTATAAAATCATTTGATATTAATTTCTAAGATATTATGATATTATTCTTGCAAAGCAAAATTTTATTTTATTGTACGATTATCTTAATTTAATAATATATAATTTAATATTACATAATTATTTTGTATTTTTTTTAACGAATATTAATTAATTAATGATAAATTATTTATTAATAAAATATAATAATTGTAAATTTATTTATTTTCCTTTATTTAGTTACCTTATAATGTAGTGTAGTCGCACTACTTATTTAAACCATAGGCGCAAAGAACGAGAAATAAAAATTATTATAGTTGTAAAATGAAAGACATAACTAAAAAAACAAAAACTTAATAATCATTTCAACGAGACTGTTTTATTTGTATAAGATACAAATAATATTAATATATTAATAAAGACAATAATATTCAACTTTTTTTTATTCATTTGCGTCCTTCTCTTAATAAAAAATATCTATATCATTATGAATAAAAATAATTTATATTATGTCTTCCGTAGGCTGCCGAAAAACTAATTGTGTTTTCCAATGTTCTTTCCTCGAAGATGAACAACATAAGCAACCGCCGTGTGAGTGCAAGAAATCGTTTCGTATTCACAGTGGTGAGTTCATTTATTCATCTTCTATATTTTCCCCTCGTACTATGATAAGAAATACATGAAAATGTAACAAAAGCACGTTACATGCACATATACGTTGTTCATATAACTATTCATTATTTTACACCATTGCATATTGTCAAAATGAATGTAAAAAACGTCGTTTTTTCACTCTCATTCTCATATTAGAATTATCACAAGTAAGAATGTGATTTGATATTTACCATCCATTCATTATTCATAACGGTAAAATCAATCATACGTGTATGGTGTAAATAGTCAAAGAAACGATGGTTATACTGAATGTGTATGCCTTAAGCTTTTGTTGCAGGAATTCTTTTTCTTCTATTTTTTATTCTTGTTATAGATCGTACAAGGTTTGAATGTAGAATAAAATTAATGAACGTTACATATCCAAGAGGCGTTAATTTCATTGGACAAAAGATCAGTCTCGAAACTCACCTTAGCAAACAAGTGAGTGCACCTACGAATATTTTACTGAAAAGATTTACTTTTCACCCAAGATAGTTTTTTAATTTATATAATTTTTAGTTTTGTAATTTATTTATGCCTGACTTTATTTTGCATTAGCTTTGCATAAAAAGATCATATTTTGAAGAAGAATAAGATTTAACTAACATACACAATATCTACGTAAAGTAATCAATAAATTATTAAATAAAATACATGATATAAACAAGATACAATATGTAAATGCAAATACATGTAAAGATTATTGTCAAAGATTACATTCGTTATTTAGTGAAAATAAAATATATTTAAAAATGAACAATATCCTTCATAATAACTTAATGGTAAACCATTGATCATTGTGTGTGTGTGTGTGCGCGCGCGCGCGCGCGTGTGTGTATGTGTGTGTGCTCTTGTCATATTTTATATTTGTATTTTTAGAATATTAAAGTGCACCTGTAATTTTTTTTTCATTTTGCCCAAGATTTAGTTTCATTAAAAATGAATCAAATTCCAGTATTAACAATACAAAATTATATGAATAACAATGTAGTGAAATACATAAATATTTGGAAAATCAGAAATATATGACAAAAATAGTAAAATTTGAAATATCTTTTTATTATTAACAAATAAAATATTACTTAAATAAATATAAAAGCAAAATACAAGCTTTCAAAATTAATCGATGTGTTTAAATAAAATATATATAAAAAAAAAAAATTTAGTATTTACAGTTTTGTAACTTGTAACTTCAAAGACAAAAGATCCTTTCAATAAATTTCAAAATTATATATTTGCTACTATTTTTGAAAATCAAATGCATGTTTGATACAATATATATTATCAATAATTTTATAAAATGATGCCGTATAAATTAAAATAAATATTGAATTAATTATCATTTTATAATCGTAAAATACCTTTACGTTAAGTCAATATCTTATATATCTATCGATTTGATATATTATTTATTGATATTGATATATATATATATATATATATATATATATATATATATATATATATATATTGATATTTTATATGACTTAAGAAAAATATTTAAAGTTGTACTTACCTACAATGTTTTAAAAAAATTAATTTGACTTTAATGTGTTACGACTGATCATTCTCAAAGAATAAAAATTTTCATTTAAAAAAGATTAATACTGAATATATTATTAAAACAGTAATTTATTGAAGAAATAAATATTTTTTTAAATCGGAAATAATAACTAATACAAAGAAAACGAATTTTATAATTTAATTTTAAATTTTTATACTTATATATATATAATTCGCATTAAACTACAATATATATATATATATATATATATATATATACTAAGGATACGTTTTAAATTAGAAAAGTGAAAAGTTTCCAAATTTAATATAAATTTCTGATTTTTAAATTAATTATTTTTTATGAACAAGATGCCTTTTGATTGAATAATTAATTATAAGATTTTTATGAAACAATATTTGTATAAATTTACAGGTATGCGTTTTTAGCTATTGTACAGATATTTCTTTTCAACTTTCATTAGTTTTTTATATTTTCATTTAGTTTAATATATCTCAAACCTTAAACATACGAAAATATATGACTATATGTATACAATTATAAACTATGTATTATGCAATTACTTGTCGATCTCATGCTTAGGCATAACTCCAGAGAAAAGTACTAACATTGATCAATGCCAAAATTATCAAAAAGTATAATAAATGCGAGCATACTCAAAGCTGCAAAACCCAATAACTTAATCGAATAGATTGTTATTGGCATTTATAATCATCAATTTTGAAATAATTAAGTTTCGCTTTCTTTTTTAATATTTCATGCAGCCAAGTAATACAAATATTATTGACAGAAACGATGATGTTGAAATATTAAAATATATTTACAAAAATTTAATTACTATAATAAGAATAGATACCTACTGGTGAAAAATTATAGTATTAAGTTTAATATAGTGCTCGAATAATTTAATTGTCATGATTATATAAATCATTCTCATTTTATTCAGAAATATTAAATATATTTTTTATACTTATTTAATATGTTTAACAGTGATATAAACCAATAAATATATTATATTTATTAATTATTGGATTTTTCATAAAAATGTTACTTATTAGAATTTTAATAATAAATTTATACATTGACTAATTTTATTATAAATATAATCACTAGGCAGTATATATAAATCTTACGCAAGTAATTCGTAGTAGCATTATAGCAAGAATTAACAAACAAATTAGTATCATAATAAATATGTAAGAAAAATTCAATAATAATTTTAATATAAACATAACAAAATTTCATATTATTACTTCTAAATCACAAAAATCCAATGTTAAAATTTATTTTCTCGTAATAGAAGATTTTGTAATTGTCAACTGTTATTTTTTACAGATTCAGATTATATTTGAAATAGTTAGTTGCTTTGCAATTTTCTGCGAACGCGGAATACGCCAAATGCTTAAGCAATTAAAAATTCCAATTATCCTATGGATTAATTGGACCGCCGTCTTTTATAATTTTCTTTTATTCGGACAATCGCGTACTTCTGAACTTATTCCAAATCTACTTCTCTGGCATTTACCTACATATATATAATATATTAACCATAAACATTTTTATTTAATTAACAAGTTGAATAAAAACTTGTATTAAATAACTTTTCAATATATTTAAAAAGATCATTAAATCGTGTTAATTATATTTTGAATTCTCAACTTGATGAATCCTTGCTTTATTTTATTTATTGAATATTCCAGGATAATTTCATTAGACAGTATTTGTTATCAGTAATTTTCGAGATTACTAATCTAATGCTCATATATTAAAACAAATCTATGAATTTAAAAGGGGCTTTTGCATTTGTTATAATTTTTTGTCTCTAAAATTTAATATTATTTAAATAAAATTTTATTTATAAAGGATTTATAAAGGTAATGAAAATTTTTATATTTATATAAATATCTTTATATCAAAATTTTTATACATCGCAATAAAAATGTTGTATAAATGTTTTTGATAATATATTATTTTTACTTCATACTCACTATTGAACAAAATTAATTTCTGCTGCAACTCTTATATGTAATATATTTTTGAATCTGATAATATTTTCATTAATTAAAAAAAAGTAATTTTAAATTAATCTTTTTTTTTTAGTAATATAGTACTAATTATATATCAATAAAAATATATAATTATTTAATGATGATTTCTATTCTTGCATGAAATTCATTCCGATATAAGTAATAATTACTATTCACATTCATGTTAAAGTTCCATTAATTTCTATGCACATAAGGAAATTTACATTGATTATATTTATCATTTATAATAGAATAATTAGTAAAAACAGAAAATCATTTCAATCATTTGAAAAATATTATAGCACTATACCAATACATTAATAAATATTATCCAAGTTAGTAAATTTTAATAATCCAGAACCATATATATTCTATTCAAAATTAATACATAAAATATATAAAACGTTTATCTAATTTCACTACGTGACTATAGAAACACTACAGCAAGAATATAATATTTTTATAACCGTAATATACACCACAATAATACACACATGTATAATATACACATTTAATGCTGTTCGAAATATAGTGATGTAATTCTTGGCTCGAACTGCCAATGCTTCAATAGCTTACTTTGCCGCCCGGGAAAGA